GTGTGTGTGTGTGTATGTATATGTGTGTATGTGCGTGTGTGTGTGTGTGTGTGTGATTTGTGTGTGATTTCTGATTGCCTCATTAACATAGTGGTTTTTTATGCGTTTTTGCTTATATACAAAAACATATGCTGGTGTGTGTGTGTGTGTGTGTGTGTATGTATATGTGTGTATGTGCGTGTGTGTGTGTGATTTGTGTGTGATTTCTGATTACCTCATTAACATAGTGGCTTTTTATGCGTTTTTGCTTATATACAAAAACACATGCTGCTGTGTGTGTGTGTATGTATATGTGTGTGTATGTCGTGTGTGTGTGTGTGTGCGCGCGTCTGTCCGAGTATCTCAACTCGGCACCCAAGCAAGCTCCAACGCCAAAATTTTGCGAGTGGGTTCCCCGGCCAAGTGCCATCCCAGGATAGCGGTACCAATTCTCAAGCACGTCTGGGCCCCGCGTACGAGTGCCTCAAAGTTTTGGCAGAAAAATCGTTAACTTGGGAGCCAGGAAAGCTAGAAAGCTGAAATTTTGGGATTATGTTCCCCGTCCATATAGAACTCAAAGACTTCAAATTCAGCCACCAGGTGTGCGTATTTCCCGCGTGCGGCACTGTGAGGGTTCCTGGCGCGAAAATCGCTAGCTCGCGGACCAAGGGACCTGGGAGGCTGAAAGTTTCAGAAAATGTTCCCACTCATCTACAACTTAAATTTATCAAATTCAGCCCCTCTGTTATGCCTGGTTATCACTTACGGTCTCGTGAAATTTTTTGGCGGGAAAATGGCTAACTCTGGAACCAGGGAAGCTGGAACTTTCAGGAAATCTACGACTTAAATTTATCAAATTTAGTCCCCCCCGTTATGCGTGGTTGCCACGTACGGCCCCATGAAATTTTCTGGCTGGAATTTGGGTAACTCGGGAACTGAGAAAGCTGGGAGCTTGGGATTTTAAGGGAATGTTCCCTGTCCAAGTACAGCGTGGATAATTAACTTTCCGAAATTCGAGGACCAGTATGTACAAGAGTTTTCTATTATAGTTAGCGGAATTTCGAGTGGTCTTATTACAGCACGAAACACTGCAAAAACGCATGATCGCCCGCCTAGTGCGCGTTGCCAATGATTTCTACTTGTCTACAACAATTTTCACAGAACTCCGGGGTTTTTCGGTGTTGTGGGCGGAACTATTGTTGTTAAAGGAGCTCCTTTTGAAAAATGGCTAATGGAGCGGGAATGTATCGAACCACACCCCTACACATCCAGACGCGATGTACTAGATCACTACAACATTGGCCCTTGTATTCATGCACTTTGCTGGAGCATTCACATCCTGCAAGTGTGGCATTCTCATATATACTCTTTAAGGTCTGGCTGTTGCGCCTTGTGTAGCACCCTTTCTCAGCAGTTGCCGACTTTTCGAGCGTTTTTCATGGCAACTACGCTACAAATTTCATTAAATCTGTAGATGCGCATGCCATCTTATTTTCATATTTTTTC